GAGGGGGCCCCCTTCACAGGCGGGCCCCCGCCCCAGAGACAAGACAGCTCAGGATGGCAGCCTTCAACAAGGGCCACCCCTGGGTCAGCAGGTGTGGACCTCAGTGTCGCCTCCAGACTTATACAAAAGGTCACCATTAGGACGGATGGCGTTAGGACCCTAAATGACATGCAAAAACTATTGGGAGACATTAATTAGATTAGGCCATATTTACATATACCAAATTCAGATCTCAAACCCCTGTTCGACCTTCTAAAGGGAGACCCAGATATAGCCTCCCACAGGAGGCTCACTCCTGAGGCAAGAGCTGCCTTACAGAGAGTGGAAAAAGCCTTAGGTGGGGCTACCTTACACAGAATTGAACCAGGGCGACCCTTTGATGTCTGTTTGCTACAGACTAGTCTACAGCCCACAGCGGTGATTTGGCAGAAAGGACCATTACTGTGGATACACCCTAAGGTCTCACCTGCAAAAGTCATAGAGCATTACCCAGAGGCAGTCGCTTCATTGGCCCTTGAAGCGCATGATAGAGCTGTCCAACATTTTGGCTCAAGACCACAAGCCATCCGAGTACCCTATACCGCCAGCCAGATCAAGACCCTGGCTGCCTGCATAGATACATGGGCCATTCTGAGATGTGTTTTCCATGGGGATATAAACAATCAATACCCTAAAGACCCTATCTTGTCATTTGTCACTCAGCACCCTATAATTTTTCCAAAGGTTACTGCCTCTGAGCCATTAGTCCCAGCAACTACAATATACACAAATGGCTCCAAGACGGGGATAGGCGCCTATGTGATCCTAGGCAAGCCCCCGGTTACCATACAATTTAAACCTGATCAGCCTCAGGTGGTGGAACTGCAGATCGTTAAAATGATTCTTGAACGGTTCTCAGAAGCCATTAATATTGTCTCCGATTCTAGGTATGTGGTCAATGCTATACAAGTGCTTGAGACTGCCGGTTTAATTAGATCCACTTCCACAGTGGCTGGGCTGTTCCTGTCTATCCAGACATTGCTTCAGAACAGACACCATAAGGTCTTCACCACCCACATAAGAACACATACATCCTTGCCAGGGCCTATGGCACAGGGGAATGCGGCTGCTGATACTGCCACTCGCCCGTTATGGATTTTTACCTTACTAACACCAATCGAGCGAGCCCGTGCCTTCCATGATAAGTTTCATGTCAATGCCAGGACACTAGCAAACCATTTCCATGTTTCCAGAGCAGATGCACGAGATATCGTGCGACTATGTGACTCCTGTGCCACATACAAACCTGCCATACCGATGGGAGTAAACCCTCGAGGTTTGATCCCTGGTGATGTTTGGCAGATGGACATCACACATATACAGGAGTTTGGGACTCTTAAATATGTTCATGTTTCCACAGACACCTGTTCTCACGTCATATTTGCAACAGCAAAAACAGGTGAAAAAGTGTCTAATGTGATCAATCATTGCCTGGCGGCTTGGGCCGCATGGGGCAAACCAAAAATATTAAAAACTGATAATGGACCAGCCTATATAGGCAAAGCCTTCAATGAGTTCTGCAAAATGATAGAGGTTCAATTAAAACATGGTATCCTATACAATCCCCAAGGTCAAAGAATCATTGAGAGGGCTCATAAAAGCCTCAAAGAAATTTTACAAAAACAAAAAGGGGGAGTAGGCCAAGGCCTGGCCCCAAAGGCACGATTATCCATGGCACTATTCACACACAATTTTTTAAATTTAAATAATGATAATTGCTCCCCAGCCGTGGAGCACTGCAACCCTTCCCCCAACCATAAAGGGTGGGTGAAGTGGAAAGATGTCCTGACAGGACAATGGATGGGCCCGGATCCAGTGGTCAGCTGGAACCGAGGCGCGGTTTGTGTTTTCCCACAGGAATCGAGACGAGAACCACTGTGGGTACCGGAGAGACTGACACGGGCGACAAAGCCCTCGACTGAAGATCAGACCTGCCCTACCGGAGATCCATCACAGACCAACCAACAAGATAAATAAAAATAGCGGTAGCCCAAAATGGACAAGAAGATCCTCAGGCATATACATGGCTCGCTCGCCTAGCCTACGACCGAGTCTAGGGACGGTGAGCTTCCCACACTCCTCCTCTAAAAAAAAAAATTATGACATAGCTGGGTAGGAGAGTCAATGACGGGTAAGAGCGTACTCCCCCGGTGCGACTCAACCTAAGCCAGGCCCTACCCCATTCTGCACGTAAGCCGCTGGACTGTTAGATGCTGCCCAGGTCTAAATTTCTCTCCGAGGGGATTTCTTTACGGAAAGGAAATGAGTACAAGCTTGTGTACATCCAGGTTCCGTCCAGTTTGTGCCTGGCCCTAGAAAAAGGACGAGGGCCTCAGGGCCTTGGCAGACCATGGGACGGCCGACCAGGGTCTAAGCCAAGGACCTACGGTGGGCCTACGCATAGGGCATAAGCCTCTGCACCCAGTCCAGGAAGGGCTACGATGCGCACATTCATAAAAAATAAAAAAGGGGGAGATGTTGAGAGCCACAGCCCCGAGCCCGGTCGCCTCACTTGGCGGACGTGAGGCCTGTAGTAAAGAGTAAAGCCTGAGGTAGATTACCCCTCCCATCGAACACGTTAGTTTCCTGCTTAGCGCGTAAGCAACCCGCTCAACAATATAGTCTGCCTGGCAACTGATGATGTTAGCCAATCAGCTTGCCTTGCTCACTTTAACATGATTGGACACTGTATCCGTATATATACTGGTGCCACCCCTGGGGGGGAAGAAGAAGCCCAGAAGTAAAAGCCCAGAAGGAGCCGCGGGGAGCGGACCAAAGGAGGCTTCGGCTGGGAGCGATCCCAGGGCAGGCTGTACGGAGAAAAAAAATAAAAGAAAAGGTTGTCCACTGCCAGACTTTGTCGTGTGTCCTTCCTGCCGGCCGGGAGCGGACATCGACACTGTACAAAGGATACTAGCACACCAGGATGGCAAAGCCAGTCAGTTCTAAGAATGTCAACTGAGTATGGAGCCTCAAAATAAAGAGGATATGAGTGCCTAGGGCACCAAAGTTTACATATCAGAAACTGAAGCAACAGCCTCCAAAAACAATTCATTTGCTACCTGAATTGAATTATGCAGAGTGATCCTTCATTATCCCTGCATTTTGCAAAGATGCTTTCCTCTCCACCAGGCTAGCTGGCTCAAGTTACTCACTAGCTCCCTCCATCTTCACTGTCACTCATCCTTGAGCCATGCCCTTCTTCACAAGATAATAAATTCTAGGAGAGGCCTAGAATCAGGGCCTTTGTCTTCATATCTTCACGGGAATTGGATTTAGGCCTGCTTTGCTGCCCTTAAGTTGGAATATGTCTTGGAGCCTTTACTTTCACTGTGGATTGCAATAGAGGTGATAGATTGGAATTAACTTGCTGGGATTCCAATAACGTCTCAATGGGATTGCAAATATAACTTTTTGGATTGTGAGGAAGACTGGAAAAGGGCTAATAATACTTGGATGACCACTCAATATTTGGGATTATAATACTACTCCTTTTTCTCAATACCACTTGCCAGTTTCTCTCTTTTTTTTTTTTTTTCCTCTCTGGTTTTTCTTTTTTTTTTTTTTTTGTCTTTTTGAGACAGGGTTTTACTATGCAGTTCAGGCTTGAACTCACTTTGCGGCCTAGGTTAGACTCAAACTCAAGGCAGTCCTCCTGTCTCAGTCTTCAAGTGTTGGGATTACAGTCATGTATCACAATGCCTGTCCTGTTTCTGTCTTCCAGTGAATTTGTTGAATTAGCAGAGGGAAAAGATTGACTTTCTGACTCAGCTCTTTATGGAAATCCTCTAAAGAGGGAAGGAGTTTGGGGTTGCAAATTAAGTGATAAGAATTGTTTTTGTGTTCTCAATTGCAGTCTAATTGAATTTTCTCTTTGCAACTGAAATTATAGTCCTTGAGGTTTTAGGGGTACCCACTGTGGACATCACATACACACACACAAAAAAAGAGTATCAGAAAGAACTGGAGCATTTTAAAATTACTGAGCACTAGGAATATAGTTCATAAATGTAACAAATATTTTGTGACTAAATTAATTTTTATTGGTACATGTTTGCTACATATAATTGATACAGGGGAATGAAACTCCCAACCTACTATGTCCGTGATATATTTATTTATTTATTTTTTATCTTTTTCATTTTTATCGGTACCGGGGATCCAGCTCACGACTACCTGCTTGCAAGGCAGGCGCTTATGCCGCTGAGCTAAATCCCCAGCCCCGAATATATTTATTGAGAGAAAGAAAGCTTCTGTCAAGAGACAGAAGGGGTCCGAAGAGGGTTGCCAAGGACTCTTGTCTTTTTCAGGGACTTTTTATAGAGTAAAATCATGGGGTGAAATGGGTTCAAGGTGGGGAAAACTGGAACCTCAGCAAGGCAGATGGGCATAAGGTGGAACAGAACTATGGTTAGCCAATATGTTCATGTTTAAACGTATACAAGGTCTTAACCCATGATGTGTTTCGCAGAAACTTAGTTCCTTCCAAGGAGGTAACCATATCAATTTCCTCATACATTTTTTAATCTGTGTTCTACTCTAAAAATTTCCAAATCCTGAGAAAACACTTGTGATTAGGTCCTGCTCTCTCATACTTTTTGACAGCTTTTGGTCTAACAAAATGGGTCAGTGATTTTTATAGTTTCTGTAAGAGTTTGTGATGAAGGGTTAGGGAAGGAGGTCAGTATGAGGGAGGCCCTAGGTGCGATTCCTACAACCAGAAAGAGGAAAAACCCCAAAAGATTTAAGCTGAAAAGTTGCTTGCTTCTTCTTTTTAACAACTCTTAAACACGCCTAGAGGAGGCGGTACACCTTTGCGCCTCAATTGTCAGTCCAAAGGCAACCCAAGAGCTGTAGTTTAACAGTTACTATGGTTTCGGACGTCCTGATCTAACGTCACCCGTCGGCGCTTGATGATTACGTAATCAGTGTAAGTAGTTCCGGCTCTCTTTGCGGGCGGGGGAGCAAGGAGCCGGGAGAAACTTAGCTACTAGTGTGGCAGGGTCATGAAGAAGAGGCGGCGGCGGGACCGAGGAGGCGGCGGCGGGACCGAGGAGGCGGCGGCAGGGGCGCGAAACTGCGGTAGCTGTCCGCTGGACAGGTGGTGTGGCCTTGTGGGGAGGACGTAGGTCCTAGCCCTCTCTCAGGCAGCGGCCGGGCCTCGGGACGGAGCGCGGCCGTGGAGCCGCCTCCCCGGGACCCCTGGCTCCGCCATGTTCCGCAGGGCGCGCCTTAGTGTGAAGCCGAATGTCAGGCCCGGTGGTGGCGCCCGGGGCTCCGCCGCTGCCAAGCCGCAGCGTGGACAGGAGGCCTCCAGGCCGCCGGAACCTGCCGCGGAGCCCGCTCCGAAGTCAGCGGAGCCCACTGATGTGCCCGCGGCGGATTTCGGGGGAGCAGAACCCCAGGAAAAGGTTCCCACGAGCAGGTAAGGAGCTGAGGGATTACGAAGCCGAGCAAATGAACTTTATCGTTAAGTGAACATCCTCGTTTGAAGTAAGTCTTTCGTTTGAGCCCGATGAAACAGTTTATCCCTCTGCTACGCAGGGTGCGGCTGGTGTGGTTCGTCACGGTGTCTAGATCGCGAGGACAGCATGACTTCCACCAGCAGAAGTGGGAATTTAAGGATGACCCATCTTGAAGTGAAGAATAGCCACACTCTCACCGTCCTTTTTCATTATAATAGATGGCTTTATTGAAAGTACTTTTTAATGTAAGAAATGCTTTATTATTATTATTATTACTTTTTTGGTACCGAGGATTGAACTCATGACCTCACGCTTGCCAGGCAGGCGTTTATGCCACTGGGCTAAACCCTGTGCCAGAAATGCTTTTTTTTTTTTTTTTTAAAAGAAACCCTTGCAGCGTTTTCTCCTCCCCCCCATTTTGGCGCTGGGGCTCGAACCCTGGTCCTCGCGCATGCTAACCAAGAACTCTGCCACTGTACTATAGCGCCACTGCTGGCTGTTGTTACTGGCAAGGAAGTCTAGTTGCTGCGTTTTGGCGTGAGGGTGCTCTTCACAGTGACCACGTTTTCCCAGCCAAGAAAGCGTGGCTTGCGCGTCATGTACTGCGTTTGTATTTGGGACTGTTGTAGTTAACATGAGTAGATTTTTTTCGGGACAGAATATTTTCTCTTATTAAATAAGGGTAATACTACCTTCTTGGGACATTAAATGGAGCTCAGAGATGACTCATGTAGGCTATTGCGTAGGACAGGATAGAATAGGTGACCCATTTGAAAAAGTTGACTGTGCAAAGTAATTAAATATAAGCCACATTAGGTTAATGAGAGGAAATTAGTAAACACCGAGCCTCGTTAAGTGATGGTGAGGTGGTACAAATTGTTTATACTGTGACAGAAAGGTAAAACATTTTTTGAGGGTACACAGCTTCCTATATTAACCTAAATTGGTGTAGATATAGGGCATTTTGATAGCTCAGTAGTGATACTCCATCATTTCCAAGGTTTTTTTTTTTTTTTTTTTTTTTTTTTTTTACATGAATTCACTTCAAAATTTCTACTCAAAATGGAGATACCGGTACCAATCACTGGTAAACTAATGAAGTTCTTAGCTATTTTGTTCATTGTGTATGAATGTGTGATGGTTGATAATTTAATAAACTGCCCAGAGAATGTCGTCTTTTTTAGAGGTTGTTGAGATAGGGTCTCCCCTATGTAGTCCAGCTGGCCTTTAACTAGCTATGTAGCGCTGGCCTCAAACTTAGGGTCTGCCTTAGCCTCCCAAGTGCTGGCGTTATAAGCCTGTACCACCTGGTTAAGAGTGTTATCTTGAGACTTTTATTCTCAAATACTTGTTTTCTTAGAGTTGATATTTAGGGGACATATTTTGTTTTTTAATTCTATCTTGCCCCCCATTTTGGTTGATCTTTGCTAGTTGTAAAAATCAGGTTATCTGTTCTGTATTCAGCATAATTGGGCAAAATGGGTATGTGTATTGTTAAAATGGCTGAGATGATTTTTTTTGTGTGCCAGTACTGGGATTGAATTAAAGAGGGATTACACATTCGAGGCAAACACTACTAAGGAGCTACATTCCCAGCCTGAGATAGGAATTTAAATTGGAGATTTTGGCTTGTAGTATAGCTTCATGGCACAGAATCTGCTTGGCAAGCGTGAGTTCGATGTATGATACCAAAAAAAATTTTTTTTCTGGAAAAATTATTCATAGACTTTTCCAGTTTTATTTAAAACTAATTGTAAAATATGAAAAATGAAAAAAATAGTCTTTTAATTTTTTGTTTTGTTTTTTGAGACAGGGTCCTGCTATGTAATTCAGGCTGACTTTGAGCTCATTATGTAGCCCAGGCTGGTCTCAAACTAGCAGTAATCCTCCTGCCTCAGCCTGCCATATCCTGAGATTTCCACACCCAGCAGAAAAGTAGACTTAAATCTTAATTTGCATCCCCTTTTTTCTTTCCTGTATTTAAAATGTTTATTGATACAAAGTAATTTTATATACTTTAGGCTACAATGTATTATTTTAATACATACAATGTATAATCAAATCAGAGTAATTGGTATACAAATAGCCTTAGCTCAGTGACACAGTGCCTGCAGTACAAATGTCCGGTCCTGAGTTTGATTCTGAGAACCAAACCAAACAAACAACAACTCCTCCTCCCCCCCAAAAACCCCAAAACTAATGTTTAGCTGGGTGTGGTGACACCCCCAGCACTCGGGAGGCACAGGCTGGAAGATTGCTGTGACTTCAAGGCCAGCCTGAAGAGAATAGTGAACTTGTCTCAAAGACACAAAAAAGAAAAAAAAAAAAAAGTGAACTTTTCCTTGTGTTGGGAACATTCCAAATCCTTTGTTAGCTGTTTTGAGGTCCAAAGTAAGTTGTGGCCAATCATGGTTATGCTGCAGTGCTATGTAGCACATTAGAAGTTGTTTCCTTCCTGTTAGCCTCCCGAGTTCTGGGCTCACAGTGATTAAATTTAGGTTACACTGAGCCAAGAATGTAGCTCAGTGGCACAGTGCCTGCCTGGCAAGTGTGAGGCCCTGAGTTTGATTCTGGGTACCCCCCCCCCAAAAAAAAAAAAAGTTGCATAGACTTCGTTTATTTATTTATTTTTTTAAACTTAGTCTGGGCATTCTGTTAAGTGCTTGGCATGTAATCATGTGCTTTAATGTGGTTAGTGACTTGACAGTTTGAGCAAGATTAATCACCTTCATTAGAATTTGCAAGTGCTTAAATGGTTTCAAACACAAATTTTGTTGGAACTACTGTTGTAATTAATTTAAATCTCAAGTCACTGATTTTTCTTTTCTTTTCTTTTTCTTTTTTTTTTTTTTTTTGTTGGCAGGAATTGAACCTGGGGACTCACATACCCTAAGGCTCATGCTTAACCATTGAACTATACCTCTATATCCTACTTTTTCCCCCCACATTTTCCCTTTCATCTTTAATTTCTTTCTTTCGTGTGGAACCTCTAATCCTGTTTTATGAGGAATCCCCACATTGGTTTCCACAGTGGTTGCACCAGTCTTCACTCCCACCAAGAATGGAAAAGGGTTCTTTTACCCCACAGCCCCTCCAGCATTTGTTATTGCTTGATTACTTTTTTTTGGTAGTGGGGATTGAACTCAGGACCTTGAGCTTGCCCAGCAGGAGCTTGTGCCGCTGAGCTAAACCTCCAGCCCTGCTTGATTTTTTTTTTGTTTTTCACTTTCTTCTTTTTGAACTCACAATCTTGTGCTCACCAGACAGGCGCTTACACCATTGAGCTAAATCCCCAGCCCCTTGGTGTCTTGATAATTGACATTCTTTCCATTATTTGTAGATTCTAGCCATTAATTTGCATCTCTCAAATGATGATGTGATGTTGAACGTTTTTTCACATATTTATTTGTTGTTTGTATTACTTCATCTGAGGAGTGTGTATGCATCTCAGATGCTGATTTTTGGACTGGGTCTTTAAATCTGGGAGGACTGTTTTTTTTGAGTTCTTTATATGCTCTAGATAACAAGCCTTTTTCTGAGGTAGAGCTGGTAAACATTTTTTTCCCACGATGTGGGTTGTCTCTTCTGTTGGTGGCTTTTCTTGCTGTGCAAAAGTTTTTTCAATAGGATAAGATCCTTGGTGATAGCTCCTGTACAATCAGGATTTTGTTCAAGTCTTTGCCTACACCAATGTGTTCAAGAGTTTTACCTACTCTTTTCCAGCAGATTTTTTTTTTTTCCAGCAGATTTAATGTTTCTGTTTTAATATTAAGATCTTTGATCCATTCTGATTTTAGCTTAGTGTCTGTTGAAAGATTTGGGTCCAGTTTTATCTTTGGCATGTGTAGATGTAGAGCCAGTTTTTCCAGCACTGTTTATTAAAGAGGCTATCTTCCAATGAATGTGTTTGACACTTTTGTAAAGGTAAGGTGGCTTTAGTGTGTCTGGAGTTGTTTCTGCATCTTCTAGTTTGTTCCATTGATCTTTGGGTTCTCTTTTGTTTGTTTGCCAGTATCATACTGTTTTTATCACAGTAGCTTCATAGGATAATTTCAAGTCAGGGATTGTGATATCCCCTGTGTGGTCCTTGTTTCTCAGGATTACCTTTGCTATTTTAGAGGTCTCTTCTGGTTCCAAATGAATTTCAGGATTGTTTTCTCTAACTCTGTGAGAAATGCTGTTGGAATTTTTTTTTTTTTTCTCTTTTTGAGACGGTCTTGCTATGCAATTCAGGCTGGCCTTGAGCTCACTGTATAGCCCTGAGCTGGTCTCCCCTCAGCCTCCTAAGTGCTGGGATTATAGGCCTGAGCCACCATGCCCGGCCTGCTGTTGGAATTTTGATTGGGATTGCATTGAATCTGTGTAAGAGATTTGGAAGTATACCATTTTCACTATATTGGATCTTCCTTCCTAAGAGCATGGAATATTTCTCCATTTTCTCATATTCTCTTCAATCTCCTTTTTCAAGACTACTGTAGTTTTCAATATAGAGGTTGTTTACATCCTCTGTTAGATAGATTACTAGGTAGTTCATTTTTTTTTTGGATGCTATTTTAAAGGTATTGTTCACCTGATTTCTCTCTCAGTGAGTATGTTATTCCTGTACAGGGTGGCTACTGATTTTTGAGTGTTGACTTTGTAAACAGTTACTTTATTGAATTTGCTTTTTTTTTTTTTTTTTTTCATTTTTATCGGTACCGGGAATCGAACTCACGACTGCCTGCTTGCAAGGCAGGCGCTTATGCCGCTGAGCTAAATCCCCAGCCCCTTGAATTTGCTTATTAAATCTGTAAGTCTTTGGTGATGTTTTTGGGGTCTTCTAAGTAGAGTATCATGTCATCTGCAAATAATGATAGTTTAACTTCTTCCTTGCGTATCTTTATTCCTTTTATTTCTTTCTCTTGTCTAATTGTACCAGCTAAAGTTTCTAGGACTATGTTGAGTAAGAGTGGAGACAGTGGGCATCTTTGTTTTGTTCCTGATTTTAGAGTGAAAACTTTTAGTTTTTGTCCGTTTAGTATGATGTTGGCTGTTGGTTTGTCATAGATGGCTTTTATCAGATTGAGATAAAAACCAACATATTTCAATTTTTTTGTAGCATTTTTATCATGAATGGGTGCTGGACTTTGTCAAAAGCTTATTCTATATCTACTGAGCTAATCATATGATTATTGTCCTTTTCTCTGTTAACAGATGATGTATTATTGCATTTGTGGCTTTTACATATGTTGAATCATTCTTGCATCCCTGGGATGAATCCCACTTGATCATGGTGTGTAATCTTGTTGATAATTTGCTGTATTCTGTTTGCATCAATGTTCGTTAGGGGATTGGCCTGTAATTCTCTTTCATAGTTGGGTCCTTCTCTGGTTTTAGTATCAGGGTAATGCTTGCTTCCAAGAATGAATTTGGGAGTATTGCTTCCCTTTCAATTTCATTAAAGAGTTTGAGAAGTAGTAGTGTTAGATGTTCTCTAAATTTCTTGTAGAATTCAGCACTGAATCCATCAGGGCCTGAGCTTTTCTTTATTGATAGATTTTTAAATACATCTTCAATTTAATTTATTTTTATTGGTTTATTTAGGATCTTTGTATCTTCTTGATCCAGCTTTGATAATATAGTGGAGGGGGCTGGGGATTTAGCTCAGCGGCATAAGCGCCTGCCTTGCAAGCAGGCAGTTGTGAGTTCGATCCCCAGTACCGATAAAAAGAAAAAAGACAAAAAAAAAAAAAAGATAATATAGTGTTAGATGTTTTCTAAATTTCTTGTAGACTTCAGCAATGAATCTAATAAGGCTTGGGCTTTTTTTTGATAGATTTTATTTTATTGTTAGATTTTTAATTATTCTTGATTTGATTGATTGACCTTGATTTATTTAGCATTTTTGTATCTTCTTGATTCAGCTTTGGAAATTCATATGTATCTAGGAATCTGTTTACTTCTCCTGTATTTTCTATCTTATTAGAATACAAGTTTTCAAAAGTAGATATGGATGATCATCTGGATTTCTCCAGAGTCTGTTGTGATTTCACCTGTTTCATTCTTAAGTGCTTAGATTTGAGGTTTTTTTTTTACCCTCCTTGTCCTTTTGAGAAAAGCTCTCCCAGTGCAGGTCAGTCTGGCCTTGTGTTTACTTTGCAGTCCAGGGTGGTCTTGAACTCCCAAAGATCTGCCTCAGCCTCTGAAGTGCTGGGTTACAGGTATAATCCCACCACATCTGGCTCTTGCTTTCTGTTGATAAGGTTGGATAAGGCTTTGTCAGTTTCAAAAAAATCAGCTTTTCACTTCATTGGTCCTTTGTAATTTTTTTGGTCTTCAGTATATTAATTTCTGCTTTTCATAATTTCCTCCCTCATTGGAGTTTTTGGCTTAGCCTGCCCTTCTTTTTCTAGAACTTTGAGGTTAATCATTAAGTTGTTTATATGTGCTTGCTCTGTTTCCTGACATGGTATTTATTGCCATAAATTTCCTTCTTAAGACTGCTTTTATTGTGTCTCATAAATTCTAGTATGTTGTATTGTCATTCTCATTCAACTGTAAGAACTGGCTAATTTCTTTTTTAATTTCATCTGTGACCCATTGTTTGTTCAGTAGGGTGCTATTTAATTTCCGTGTGTTAAAAGTTCTTGTGGCTTCTTTTGTCATGAATTTGCAGTTTCATTGCACTGTGGTCTGACAGTATGCATGGAATAATTTAAATTCCTTTGCATGTATTTAAATGTGTTCTGTGAGCCAATATATGCTCTTATTTTAGAGAATGTCTTATGTGCAGCTGAGAAGAATGTGTATTCTTTTTTTATACTTTTTTTTTTTTTTTTTTGTACTGGGGATTGAACTCACATCCTCACGCTTGCCAAAGAGGTGCATGTGCTACTAATCTAACCCCCTGGTCCAAGAATGTATATTTTGGTGTGTAGGGTGGAACACTCTGTATACTAAGTCCATTTTTTCAAAACTTTGATTTAGTCCTAATATTTCATTATTGATTTTTTTTTATCTAGTTGATCTGTCCTTTTGTGACAATGGTGTATTGAGGTCTCCCAATATAATTGTATTAGGGCTTATTTGATTTTCCATGTTTTATATAGTAGCGTGCACTGATATTTGTTATATATATATATATTTATTTATGACTGTTATTTCTTCCTCTTGGATTGTTCCTTTAATAAGGATATAGTGACCTTTATCTCTCTTAATCGATGTTGGTTTGAAATTCACTTTGTAAGTAGAATGGCTACCCCTCCATTTTTCTGGGTTCCTGTCACAGGGAGAATTGTTTTCCATCCTTTGATTTTTTTCAGTCTGTGAATTTCTTTTTAAATTAAATGTGTTTCTTATATTCAGCATATTGTTGAATCTAGCTTCTTGATCCATTCTGCCAGTCTGTGTCTTTTGATTGGTGAATTGAGATCATTAGCATTGATGGTTATAACTGCTCTGTGTTGACTTATCCTTGTCATGTTATTTTCCTATTGTTGGCTCCCTCCTTTTTTCCAATTGTTTGCCTTCTCTGGTGGATTATTTCTGTTAGGGTTTATGGAGCTGTAGTTGGACATTCTCTTTCTAGAATGTCCTTCAGAACTTTTTGGAGTGCTGGTTTAGTGGTCTTAAATTTCTTCCTGCTCCTTGTGCAAGTATCATTTATTTCTCCATAAATTTTGTAAGGTAGTTTTGTGAGTTACATCAATCTGGATTGAAAGTTGTTTTCCTTTAGAACTTGGAATACTTTACTCTATGCTCTCCTTGACTTGAGAATCAGAGCTGAGAAGTCAGCTGTGATTTTGATAGGCTTTCTTTTATAGGTGATTTGTTTCTTTCTGTAAGAGCTTTTAAGATTCTGTTCTTGTGTTGAAGCTCTGGAATCTTGATCATATTATGTCTGGCTGTAGATTTTTCTTTTTTCTTTTTTTTTTTTGGTGATACCTGGGATCGAACTCATGGCTGCGCCCTTGCAAGGCAGGCGCTTATGCTGCTGAGCTAAATCCCCAGCCCTTGTAGATTTTCTTTTTGATCATTGCTAATTGGAGTTCTATATGTTTATCTGTATGTGAAATTCTTTTTCTCTGCCAGGAATGTTTTCTACTATGATGTCTGTGAACATTTTTAAATGTCATTTGTGGTATTTTCTGCTTTTTCATTTTCTCCAATCAATCTTAAATTACTCTTCTTGGTCTCTTCTAGCAGCTGCTGGATTGATTTGTTATTCTCTTTCTAGTTTTGAGAAATCTTCTTTTCCTGGTCGCTAACTGCAAGCCTGTCTTCAGTATTTGAGGTCCTGTCCTCACATTGGCTTAGTCTGCTTTACATACTTTAGTGGAGTATTTATTCTCTGGATATCTGATTGAATTTGCTTTATAGATTCCATTTCTGTCCTATCTTGAGCTTCCATCATTTTCTTAAGCTCGACTTTTTTGTCTGTATCTACTCTTTTGAGCTGGTTTGGTCTTTTTCATGGAAATACCTTATTTCTCCATCCTTTTTTTTTTTTTTTTTTTTTTTGTCTTTTTCTTTTTTATCGGTACCGGGGATCGAGCTCATGACTGCCTGCTTGCAAGGCAGGTGCGTATGCCGCTGAGCTAAATTCCCAGCCCCTTCTCCATCCATTTTGAAGGATAACTTTGCTGGATAAATTACTCAAGTTGTAAGTTATTTGCTATTAAGGCTTGGAATATTTCATTCCATGGTCTTCTGGCCTTTAGAGTTTGTGTGTGTATAAGTCCGTTGTGATTTTAAATTGGTTTACTTTTGTGTGTTAATTGTTTGTTTTTCTCTGGATCCTTTTAAAATTCTAGTTTTTTTGAGCTGTATGTGGTAACACATGCCTGTAATCCCAGCACTTGAGAGCCCAAGGCTGGAGATTCAGTGATTTTGAGGCCAGTCACTGCTGTGCTGAATTCTAGGCCAGCATGAACTGCATAGTGAGACCCTGTCTGAGATGCTGACTCCCTCCCCCAGCCTTCCAGAATGCTAGAATTACAGGCATGCATTGTCATGCTCAGATTGACACCCTCCCTCCCAGTGCCTTTATTAGTCACAGAGGCAAGTGGTAGGTAATTACAGAATGGCTACTGGGTTTCCTCAGGGGAAGGTAAGTAAGGCACAAGAGCCTGTGTTTTCCCTGCCTTCTGCCTTTAAGGCTGCATGGCATGGCCCCATCTAGCCGGATAACCTCTTAATGGAGGAATGAGTGTGCGATTATGGTCTGTACCAGATGAGCATACTCAGCAGGGTTCCCAGAGTTGCGTGGAGAAGGGTACCTGGCTGGCCAAGAAGTTGCTTACGTTTTCCGGTAGGTTAGTCAACAATGGGGTGCCACATAAGCCTGGAGCAGTGGTCATGACCTGGATGCCTATGGTAGCCAGATCCCAAGCAATGGGCAGTGTCATGCCCACTATGCTTCCTTTGGATGCAGAGTATGCAGCTTGTCCAACTTGACCCTCAAAGTCAGCCACACTGGCAGTGTTGAGGGTAACCCCATGTTGGCTCCCCTGGTCTGGTTCATTCTGGCCCATTTTATCAGCCACCAGGTGGATTACATTGAAAGTGCCTAAAAGATCCACCTTGAGAACTTGCTGGAAGTCCTCCAAGTTGTGAGCCTGCTTCTTCTTTAAGTTATTGTACATGTAAAAGATTAATGGTTCTGTTTTTCTTTAATTTCAACAGTGATGAAAAGATTGGTGGTGAAAATAATGTTGAAGAATCCTGTACATCATCATCTTCTGTGTCCCAGAGGAGAAGACGACTCTCCAGCACTTCTAGTCTGGTTAAACCTATTGTTAGTGTTCCTTCACAGTCTCCTCCCTTATCTGCAGTTAGTCAAGATGTTCCACAGCCAAACCCGATTCCAACAAAACAGAAACAGCCATGCTCAGACAGGTACCGAATATACAAAGCCCAGAAACTACGGGAAATGTTGAAAGAAGAATTGAGAAAAGAGAAGGTAAGAAAAAAAAAATCACAATTTTCATGTGTTTTCTAGATTTGTTTTTGTTTTATTATGTTAATTAATTTATTTTTTGAGACATGGTCTCACTCTGTAGTCCAGGTTAGCTTTAAATTCGTGGTGATCTTTCTGCTTCAGCCTCCCGAGTGATGGGATTACAGATGTATGCCACTACACCTGGCTAGATTTTTTTTAGGTTAGTGTGGTATCATTTGGAAGAAAAATAAACATCACTAGTCTTTGATGTGGGACAAATCAAGTGCCATCTGTGTTTGGTTGTACTGGAGATTAAAATCAGGCCTTTATATTGAGCAACATGCTTGACTTTTTTTAACTTTTAATTTTGAGACAGGGTCTTATTTAGGTCACTATTTTGCCCAGATTGGGGTCAGATTTTTGATTCACTTTGTATGATGGTCTAATGGTTAGGATTTAGTGCTTGTAAACTTTCAATTTTTGTGTCTTTGTCTCAGAGTGGTAGGATTATAGGTGTATGATATGGTGGCTGAGTCCACCTTACAACCCTTCTGTTAATAGAATATCTGTTTTTGTTAAAGAAATGGTTAGGAAGCATGAATGAATCTTATAAACTATTTTTTTTAACTGGTAGTAATCTTTACATATTTTATTCATTTGTAGTTTTTAGTTTTTGATGGAGTCAAAAAATAAAATTTTATAAACATGCACATAGATACATAAATATTTATAAAACAGTCAGATTTTTCAAGTGACACATAGTAATTTATTTGAATTAAGAGTATAGTTGAACAGTATAAGTTTGTAATGCTTTCTGAAAGAACAATGTGGGAAACTATGAATGGAAAAAGTTTGTGGAATACATGTAGTAGTCCATGTTTTTGTTAATCTTGACTGAATTTTTATTTTTCAAGAACAGTAGTGAAGCATGTTTGCTCTGGAACTAGTTATTTCAGCTTTTTTTTTTTTTTTTGGCACTGGGGATCGCTTGCCAGGCAGGTGCTATGCTGCTGAGCTATATCTCCAGCCCTAGTTACTAAAACTTTGAATCTTTATTTTAATTTTATTTTTTTGAAACAGAGTCTCCCTGAATAGATTAGACTAGCCTTGAATTCACTATGTAGTTCAGGATGGCCTCAAATTTAGAATGATCCTCTAGCTTCAGCCTTCTTAATGTTGGGATTACAGGTATGTGCCACCACACCTGGCTCTTTTTTAAATTTTTTTTTAAGACAAGTTTGTGGTGTGTCATTCAGGCTGACTTTGAACTTGGAGTGATCCTCTGTCTTAACCTTATGACTGCTGGGAGCATAGATGTTTATGACAATACAACAATTGAAACTCTGAATCTTAACTTTATCCCTTACTAGTTATATGACATTGGGAAGTTTTAAGAAATTTTTTGCATCTTTTCAATTGTAAAACAGAACCAATAAGAGTATCTATAAGTAAAACACTTTTAAAGCAATGTTTAAAAATAAGTATCCAAAAAAATGGTAAGCTCTTATTACTAATTATAGAATACTCCCCCATGAGCAGGTAGCCCAAGCTCTGTGGATCAAACCCAGGGCCTCATGTGTACTAGACAAATACTCTGTCTCTGAGCTATGCTTCCACTCCATTAAGCAGAATTTGATATATCCTTTTATCTAAGTTTAGCCACTTTAGTTTTTAAAAACTAAAGACTTAAAAATAATGTACAACTTTTAAATGTTCAATTTGTACTTTTTCCCTACAATTAGGCACAAGTGGAGTAGGAATGCTATTAAAGCACTCGTGATGAATATAGCAGTGGACTTTATATTTACATATAGTGTATCTGAAATTCTGTGTTTATAAAAGTAGATTTCTGTTTGCTCTTGTGTATACAGAAACAGTGGAAAAACAAATATGCCATAAATGAAAGCCAGATGCCACCAGATCGTTCAAAAATGACTATGAGAGACTTCATATATTATTTACCAGATAACAATCCAATGTCGTAAGTAAAATTTATTTCTCTTCAGTTTATTTGGTTGTGTAGCATACAGTTTAACATTTTTCAAAAGCATGTATGTTGATAGAATTTGTAATTTATCTGTTGTTCTTTTAGATAAATTTTCTAACTGTCTTGGTTACTTCTCTCTTGTGGCTGAGACAAAATACTTGATGCCTAAAATGAAGGAAGGAAAGGTATACTTAGCTTACAGTTTTTTGGAGGTTTCAGTCCATACTCAGTTGGTTCCAAGGCAGGGTAGTGTGGATAAGGGGCAACCGTTCATGGTGGCTGCAAGTGACAAGAGTAAAAAGGGCAAAGCACTCTCCTTTCCTTCCTTATATTGTATGCTGGCTCCCTGCCCCTGGGTGGGTGCAACACTCACACCATCAATCCCAGCGCCAGACAATGAACCAATCACAAATGCAAGACTCAACCACTTCTATGAGGTTTGAGGGGGCCATCCAAACACAAACTGTAATGGTAACAAAAATTATCAGTCTCGCTTTCTCTTTATTTTTTTGTTGGTCCTGGAGATTGAATCCAGGGTATTCCTTGTGCTATGCGCTCTACTGCTGAGTGCATCCCTGCTGTGATAGTTAAAGTTCTGTAATTACTTTCTGGGAATGGTAAATGATGCCTTTTTATTGCTGAAATTAAACAAAAATTCCTTTGTTACGTCAATTACTAGGATGTAGTACCATGTTAATTATTAAAATGTTAATATTAGGATATAGTTCATTATTAAGATGTTGTATTAGGATGTAAAAACATCTGATCAATTTCTCTTTACAATTTCTGTTTCATATTTACTAGAACCTGATTTAAAGGAGTGATCTAATTTTTATGTTGGAGCTCGTAACAACATGGTGGCAATCTGATGAGCATGTTATGGAAGAGCAGAGTTTTAATCAGAGTTAGTCTGAGGTGGGGTCAGGCAGAAGGCTTATAATTTCTGTCTTCAGTATTGTGTCATTTATGGTTAGCAGGTGGAGGTAGTTTTTTTTTTTTTTTTTTTTTTGGTACGAGGGATCAAATAACCTCATGCTTGCCAGGCAGGTACTGTGGTGCTGAGCCATATCCCTGGCCCTGAGGTAGCGTATTTTTTCGTATTTACCAGGGGTTTCACCCAGGTAAAGGAGGGACCAGAAACCTAGGTTTTGAATTGTTTGATACTTAGACGTTGGAAATAAGCCACCTATGTCATTTTATACCTCTAGAGTACCTTATTTCTAAGGAATTGGGAAGTGACAGCATTTCCTACTCAGGGCTGAAAATTTTCCCTCCTTCCATTCCTTTTCCTTCTCCTCCCTTTCTTCTTCCTTCTCTCTTTTCTTTTTTTTTTCTTTCTTCCTTCTTCATCTTTGTCATTTTTTTTTGAGGTGACTATTGATTGAGCCCAGGGTGTTATTCATGCTGGCAATACACTGTGCCTTTTCCTCAGCCATTACTGAAAAATTGGTTGTTGGATTGCATCGTTATTTAAGCTCAGTGAAACACACACACATTGAAGTTAATGTCTTTCTTGTCTGCAGATAGAATGAGTAAGATATAAATGAATATTTATTAAAAAGTATTCTGTTATTTCTGTTTAATAGTTCTTCAGTGGAACAAGAAAAGAAAACTGAAAAAACATTGACTCCAGTCCAGACAAGAGAGTAAGCATCTCATTTTACTCTTTTCAAAAAATATTCTGTCATGGATACATTTATTTTCTTGTTTTGGAGATTAGACTTGTCTTTGCTCATGCTAGACAAGTACCCTACCTCCAAGCTCCCATAATCTGATTATGCGTGTGTTTTTTAAAAAAATGATATCCAGTGATGTTTCTTGTTGTAGTTAGATTACATTTAATTGAATTTTAAAAAGACTCACTTATGAATTAAAGTTACTTCTTTATTTAAAGCAACATGATAGCTAGGCATGGTGATGCATGCCTGTAATCCCAGGACTCGAGAGGCTAAGGCAGGAGGATCACCATGAGTTAGATGATACATAGTGAACTCAAGGCCAGTCTGAACCACACAGCAAGACTCTGTCCAAGAAAAAAAAAAAAGCAGGGCCAGGAGTTTAGCTCAGGGGTGTAAGTACCTGCTTGGCAAATGTGAAATCTTGAGTTCAATCCCTGGTACAAAAAAAAAAAAAAGAAAAAGAAAAAGACAAAGAAAAATCTCCTGGGAAGTAACTACAGCCTTGTACTATTTCTATTTTTTTTTTTTAATCAGTACCAGGGATCGAACTCACGACTGTGCACTCGCAGGCAGGCCCTCATGCCGCTGAGCTAAATCCCCAGCCCCTTGTATTGTATTTCAAAGTGGGGATTGTGGAAGCTTAGTGGAACTTTGGGAGTCTAGCTTGTCACTTCAGGAGCCAAGTAATTCTTACCATTTGCCTAGGATCCATATTCTCTTTTAAAGAAAACTCTGAATTTTAAAGGTAGGTTGTAATTCTCAGGTTTATAGTTATATTTGCTTCAATAATACTTGGACAGAGTGCTAGGCATGGTGGTACAGCACTCAGGAGGCTAAGGAAGAATTACAGATACAAGGCTGCTGGCTTAGGCTACATGCATTGGTCTAGAGCCTGTCTTAAAAAAAAATCCACCCCTCAAAAACTCTGAAACAAACTTTAAATAGACAGTGTAATAGAGTAGAAAGTATATTTGATTTGGAGTCAGTTTTTAAAAAACTAAGTTACAGTTAGGAGCAAGAATTTCTGGTGTGCTATTATATGGTAGGGTAACTACTGTAGTATGTAGAAATTTAAAAATAGAAATTAGATACTTTTTAAAAACTAGAAGAAAGATTTTGAGTGTTTTTACAGTAAAGCAATGATAAATGTTTGATGGGATGGATATTTTTTTAGTTGATTTTAACATTATACCAAGTATACATATATCAGAAGTATAGTACTCCATTAATATGTGTTATTTTCATGTTTTCCTCAATTAGTTAAAAATCTAAGGTAAGTATACAAAACCTTTCTTTAAAAGAAAAAAAAGAGCAATTGTCTTTGGCTTTTTGCTCTGCTGTTGTGTAGACTAGAATAAAAATTACTCATGTTCTCTAAGACTTAACAATCTAACCTTGAAGGATTGCTCTGAAGAGTTAATAAAATGATCTGGAAACTAGTGCTAGGAACTAAGGATTAGTACTGTTAATGCCATAATAGGGTAGTTTACTTTTGATAGTATATGGATATGGAAAAGATGAACATTTATTTGTTTTGTTTATATTTTCTGGTGCTGGGGATACACTCAAGGCTGTCTGCGTGCCAGGCCAGTCATCCTGCCTTAGTCCTGAGTGCTGGGATTAGGTGTATGCTACCCTGAGCTATAACTCTAGCCCCATGTCTTTAAGAAAGTAAAAATTTCTTACTAAATGCTACCAGATAAAATTTGAGAAGGTTTGTTTTCTTTCTTTCTTTCTTTTGTTGTCTTTTTGAGACAGGGTCTCACAATGCAGTTCAGGCTTGCCTTGAGCTCACTTCATAGCCCAGGCTGGTCTCAGATTAGCAACAGTCCTCCTGCCTCAGCCTCCCGAGTGCTGGGATTACAAGTGTACACCACTAAGCCTGGCTTTGAGAAGGTCTTAGAGATATGTCTTCAACAACACGTAGTATTTTCAGTTAGGTTATAAGGAAAGTTGCAGCCAGCTGAAGGTTTTAATTTGTGATTATTTTAAAGTTTATACCACTCAGGAAACACATTTTTGTGTATGCATGCTGGGTATCGGTGTCAGGAAAAAGAGAAAGATGGGGTGGGTAAATATTCTAAATTAAAAGTTGCTTATAACATAATGTAGGGTAAGGTGTTTCTTTTTGTGCTTCTGTTGCTGTTTTTGGTGTTGAGAATAGAACACAGGGCCTTGTGCATGCAGAAGCATAGACTGTACCACTGAGCCATGCTTGTAGCTCCTAGAAACGCTTCTTGTACTGTTATGAATTAACTTGCTGTCATATTTAGCACACAAGAAAGTCAGAGTGCTCTTGATGCTGAAGACAATGAAGCAGTGGAAGAGACGGATGATGGGCCGTTGCTGGTTCCAAGAGTGAAAGTAGCTGAAGACGGTTCAATTATTTTGGATGAAGAAAGGTAGGAGAGAGATAGGCAGAGACAGTGAAACAGAAGTTGTGATTTTGTGAGAGGGGAAATGTCCTGTTTCTGAATTTGTCATGGTCACTTAGATGCCATTGTATCATGTACATCATGAATGTTGTGAGCAGAAAAGTGGGCTAGATTAATTTGTGATTTTTAGCAATTTTTAATGTGTTTATGAAAAGATGATACTGCAGCACTGTCATTCATTAACCTAACACCACTGTTTACCTGATAATTGAGTCATGCTGCTGAGTTAATGAACATGCTATTCCCCACTGAGGATAGATTTCTAGGATGGACTCAGTTTTGAAGTCAGTATTTAAGTTTTCATATTAACTAATTCTGTTTTCTTGTGTCTGGTGAAAACTAATGGGTATATAATGAAGGATAGACAACATATTTTATGATTTTTGTTATGATGTTTAATTTACCTTCTGGTTTAATCTGTAAGTTATAATGTCAAATTCCTTACATTTGGCACTATGCAATGTAATTGCCTTTCTAAAACGTATTTTTTAAAAAGCAAGAGAAATTAATATGTAAATAAAAAGAAATGAACTAGATGTGGTGGCACATGCTTGTAATCTCAGCACTTGGGAGGCGGAGACAGGAGGATCACTGTAAGTTCGAGGCCAGTTTGGGCTACATAGTTAATTCAAGGCCAGCCTGAACTATATAGCGAGACCCTGTCTAAAAAAAAAAAAAAAAATAAATAAATAAGTAAAAAGAAAGAGGAATCACTGGGTATGATAGCGTATGTCTGTAATCCCAGCACACTGCCATGAGTTTGAGGCCAGCCTGGCCTACATAGTGAGTTTAAGGCTAGCCTAAAGTACACAGTGAGGCCTTGTCACAAAAAAACCAGAAGAGAAAGAAAACAAAACAACAAGGACTAGAAAGTCTTTTGTTGTTTTTTATTCAACACCAAGTACATTTATTCAGAAAAGAAGAAATGAAATGTAAGCCTTTGTTGTTACTGATTTTTTTTTTTTTTTTTTTTTTTAAACAAAGTCTTGCTGTATAGTTCAGCTTGGCTTTGAACTTGCTGTGTAGTGCAGTCTGGCCTTGAATTTGCCATGTAGCGTAATCTGGCCTTGAACTGGGAACAGTCCTCCTGCCTTAGCCCGAGTGCTGGGATTACAGATGTATGCTACCACACTCAGCTATCGTTATATTGGGGATTGAACACAGTCTTTTGCGTAGGTAGGCAAGCCTTTTGCCAATGAGCTACATTGTAATGCCCTTTAAAAATTTTTAGTTTTGAGTGAGAGTCCTGCTAAGTCTATAGACAGGTCTCAAACCTGTGATTCTCTTGCCTCAGCTTCCCAAGTAACTGATCAGCCTGTGTCACCATGCCCAATTTAGTGTTTTGTGGTAGTTTAACATGTTCCTGCTGGCTCGAACCACTGACAATAAAAGCATCGTTGTTCTATGGGACACAGCTTGTACCCCTGGTAGTACAAATGGATCTAATTACTTTTCTGGATCTTTTCACTAATTAATTAATAAAAAGCCACCCAACAGAACAGTCACATATGTACCACTGGTGGTTCAAGCCGTCTGGCAGTGATGCATATGAATTATGGTCCTGTGTTATGTGAATGTGTTAAATTAGTAAAAGTGTTTAAGCACTTAAATTTTATGATAATGAAACAAATGTATACTGCTAATAATTGTTTCGTATGTTGTTTTTCATTAGTCTGTTGTGATAATTTTACTGGTTTTTATTTTTTTTAATTTTTAATTTTTATTTTTATTTATTTATTGTTTTTATTGGTACGGGGAATTGAACTCATGACTGCCTGCTTGCAAAGCAGGCACTTATGCCGCTGAGCTAAATCCCCAGCCCCCTTTTTTACTGGTTTTTAAATATTTAAAATCATATTTAATTACTTTGTTACGATGTAAAATATAAATATAATAGATTGCTGGGCACTGTGGCTCATGCCTATAATCCCAGCACTTTTGAGAGGCTGAGGCTTGAGGACCGCAAGTTCAACTCCTACATAGACCATATAGTGAGAATCTGTCTTACTAGAAAAAAGAAAAAAGGATAATAAGGATGTAGCTCAGTGTTAGAGCAGCCCTAGACTTGATTCTGGTACCATAGAGCAAACAGACTTTTGTTTTTACATAATAGGCTTTTGTCTCAATATTTCTATTGTTCCTTATATGGTAATAACACTGAATATAAAGAGGCAAATAGAAGTTGAAACAAATATTTTAGGTGGCCCAAAGATGTCCTATAATCTTTGTATTGATTTTATGGATACTGAAAATTTATTTCTATTTTTTAGGAAGTAAATTTTAAGTGAAAATTAGTAGGTATTTAGGAAGTATATACATTACAAATATATTTACCATTTTTTGAAATGTGTATTATACCTTTGATGTGACTGCCATGAGAAATTTTGAAAATAACTATTTAAATATGATTTATTATTTGTTTCTTTACTTTTTTACTGTGGACCTATTTGAACATGTGTTTCTTTTAGTTTAACTGTAGAAGTTTTAAGGACAAAAGGCCCCTGTGTTGTTGAGGAAAATGACCCTATATTTGAGCGTGGTTCTACAACTACATATTCCAGCTTTAGAAAAAACTATTACTCTAAGCCATGGTCCAATAAAGGTAACTAATTTTCATTAAAAGTTGTGTGAGTTATTTATTTGAAATGAACTGATTTAAGTCAGGTCTTCCATGAGCAAATAAATGTGAAGAACTGTGTTTTTTTTTTTTAATTTTCCTAGCTAAATTTCTTGGTACCTCTACCTGTCCGCACTGTGGAACTGTCTGTATCTCTTAACTTTATTTTAGAAAAGGTAGGGAGCAAGGAGGGCAGAGGAAGGGGTAAAAAAAAAAGAATGAAAATGTGTTAGGTACTCATATCAAATGCCTACATCAAATATAATCATTATTGCTGCAAACATACTAATAAAAGTAATGTTTAAGAATTAGCCTTTTAGGGGCTGGGGATTTAGCTCAGCGCCATAAGAACCTGCCTTGCAAGCGGGCGGTCGTGAGTTCGATCTCCAGTACCAATTAAAAAAAAAAAAGTATTAGTCTTTCAGTCATTTTTGGCTGGAATTTTCTTTCAAGTCCTACAAAACAAAACCTTTAAATGAAAAATTAGCAATAATTTCCAATGATTATAATGTTTTATTTCAGATAATATTATATAATAAGGTTTTTATAGATAAAATGATACCAGGGAAAAAACTATACAATGGCATGCTTGTTAGTTACTTTTTATGATAAATGACATTGTCTTTTTAATAAATTTTGGCTCTTTTGGTGTGAACATGAAAATTTCTTATACGACATTTAAAAAAATGTTTTAAGATATTCCATAAAGTTTTCTATAAAATTAAGTACTGTTAAATGTATATTTTAACTTTATATACACTTATGTGGGATTTCTTTCTTCTGAAAACATTAATTTTCAGTGATTCTAAATCTTATTTTTACAGAAACGGATATGTTCTTTCTAGCCATCAGCATGGTAGGAACTGACTTCTCCATGATTGGACAACTTTTTCCTCACAGAGAAAGGATAGAGATTAAGGTAATCTCATCACATTGTTGATTGAGAAGAAACCAAACAGTTACTAATGTTATTTGTGGGGTTAGGTGGACAGTACTGTAGGCTGAATCTAGGGTCTAACATATGCTAGGCAAGCGCTGTACCACTGATTTATTTTTCTAGCAACCCTCAGCTCTCCACCAGTTTTTGTAGTATTGAGAATGAAGGTAGGGTTGTAGCACTGAACTTAGTTCAATTATTTTTTATTTTTTTTTTATTTTGAGGTAGGATCTTGCCTAGTCATTAAGTTGTCCAGGCTGGGCTTGAATTTGCATTCCCTCTTGCCTCAACCTCCTAGAATACTAGTATAGTACTATAGGTATGCGCCACCATGCCTGGTCTATAGCTCTTTTTTTTTTTTTGGAGATAGAGACTCACTATATAGTTCAGGCTGGCCTTGAACTCTTGGTGATCTTCCTTCCTTGGCTTCCTGAGTGCTTGACTCTTTTTTAAAAAATATTTCAGATAAGGTCCTGCTAAATTGTCTAGGCCTTGAACATGTGATTTTTCTGTCTTACCCTGTTGAATATCTGGGTTATAGTTTTTACTGCCTGACTGTCTGTGTGTCTTTTTTGGTGTCGTACTAGAGATTGAGTGCTTCTTTAATCTTTATTTTCTAAATGCTTTTTTTAAAATCGGTACCAGGGATCAAACTCACGACTGCCTACTTGCAAAGGAGGCACTTATGCTGCTGAGCTAAATCCTCAGCCCCTTTAAATGCTTTTAAAATGTTTTTGTTTGAGAGAGGATTTCACTCATTTGCCCTGACAGGACTCAAACTTGGGATCTCGTGTGTCAGTCTCCTTGGTGCTGGGATTATAGTATGTGCTGTGACTCCTGGCTTATTTTTTGTAACTTTTGTTTAAGTGCTCAACAGCACATGTAATAACTTTTATTTATAAAGTTGCAATACATGTTTTATTTTTTTTACTATTTTTGTGCCATCATTCTCCTGAATTTCTGGGATGGCATAAAGAGACTTAATTCTGAATTATCCACACTATGCTAGCTGTTGCTCTCCTAGGAAACTTTACCTTTGGGCAGCCACTAGCGTATTTCAGTTACATCTAGAGTATACCTGAGAATACAAATGCTTCCTGTGTTTTTGCTGGGAGTTTGAGTCTTGTTTTTGATTTTCTGCATTTTTTTTTTTTTTTGGGGGTCTTTTTGCTTTTTATCAGTACTGGGGATCGAACTCACGATTGCCTGCTTGCAAGGCAGGTGCTTATGCCACTGAACTAAATCCCCAGCCCCTATGATTTTCTGTATTTTACCAACTTTTTAATTTTGAATATCACAAACTTCAGTCAGAATACTTTAAAAAATATTATTCTGCATGCATTTAACAAATTTCACAAAAGGGCAAGTATCCAGTTAATTTACATCATTATATCTCTTTTTTTTCTAAATTTAAGGAGTAAAAAGAAAAAAACAGAAAAAGGGTACAAGTTATACAGAATTTCAGAAAAAAATAAACAGTAGGAAATCACTAGTTAATTACATATTGTTATCTTAGAAATAGTTGTTGAAGTTACAAAATTAAACCATATAGAGGGGACTTTCAAACAGTCAGACTGCAAACAGTTTTGTTCAGTGACCCAACAAAACTCAGTAATATGGTTATCCATCTTATACACTTAAATATATATATGCAGCTATATCTTTTAGAGAACTTTCTTTTTCTTTCTTTTGTACAATGACAATTACACATTTTGGGTTTCATTACTCCCACAGTTCTTATTACTTTTTTTTTTTTTTGAAGAAAGTAAAATCAAATGTGACATACCAGGACAGAGTCAGTCAAATCAAAAGGATGGACGTAATATATAACGTAAAAACAAAATACAAGGTGATCAACAGTGGTTATCATAATGCCTCTTGTTATCTTAAGCAGAATTGCCTATATCATCAGTTATAATAAAATTGAACACAACAGTAAAGAATAAGACCAATAAAACCAAACCATTGGAGACATTAGAGGACTTCAATAGAAGATAATAGTCAACCAGAATGGGCATCACAATGAATCTTATTGTCTTCATAGTTGCTGCCTATACTTTCAAACTTGGTACTATCAAGCGTAACAGAATAGAGGAAAATCAATCAAAACAAGATGGTGAGAGCAATACAGAGTTTCAAATCAAGTTAATAGGAAATCAAAGTGGGTTACTATAATACATCCTGTTATTTTTTATTTATTTTTCCCTTAATTAAAAAGATAAAAATGAAAAAGTAGATAATAAAAAGGAGATTGAGATAAAAAAGAGGGCATAATAACAGCTTCTTCATATGCTGTAGCATCAAATATATCAAAACAATGTGAAATCATTCAAGAGAATGACAGTATTACAGGGTATTTAGAATCAACTAACAGAAAATGAACAATGGTTTCTGTATAATCTCCTTGTCTATAAAAGTTTTTGTTTATACTATCACATATAATAAAATCCAATAAGATACAACATGTTAAGACCTATGGAGACAGAAGAACAAAAGCTTGATGGGACTTCAAAGCAAGATGATACTAAATCAGCATTACTTATTATGATGTTGTTTTCTCCAAAATAGCTGTTCCTGTCATCCAATCTTCTCTGCCTCATTTTTGTTGAGCTCTTTTTCTGTCATTAGTTGTCAATTTGTCTTCTTTATTTTGTTTTCTGCTCCATTCAATGTGGCTTCTCTGCCACTATTTCTGGAATCTTCGTATTTTTCTTTTTTAGAATATCCTGCAGTATTCTCTGTAGGGTTGAATTGATGGTTGTATATTCCCCTAGTTCTTCTTTATCTTGGAAGCACCTTGTTTTTCCATCAATTTCCAGGGATAGTTGTGCAGGATATATCAATCTTGGCTGGAGATTATTATCTTTCAAAGCTTGAATTATTTCCCCCCACGCTCTTCGTGATTTGATGGTTTGTGCCGAGAAGTCTGCTGTAATTCTGAGAGGCGTTCCCTTGTAAGTGATCTGTTTCTTGTCTCTGATGGCTTTTAATATTCTGTTCTTATATTGGATTTCTGGTATTTTGATTATTATATGCCTGAGTGTAACTCTGTTTGGGTTGTAGGTGGCTGGGGTCCTGTATGCCTCATACATCTGAGTATCTTTACCTTTTGCTAAATTAGGGAAATTCTCCTGGATTATTTCTGTGAATAGCTTTTGTAGTTCATTTGTTTGTGTCCCTACCTCTTCTTTTATGTTCTTAATTCTTAAGTTATAGATCCTCTTATCATCTTCTAGCCTTTGTATTATTGCTGTTTGTTTCTTTGTTATTTTTGAGAAGTTTTTCATTTCATGCTCCCACCTTACAAATCTGTCCTCCAGTTGAGATAATCTATCCTTAGTTTCTTTCAAGCTGTTATGCCAGCTTTCGATAGTTTTTAGTTTCCTGGTAATCTCTTTGAATCTGCGTCACGTATTCTATGTTTTCTCTATTTTCTCCATCAAACAATTCTCCCCTTTTTTTCTGTTCTTCCATTCCACCATCTGTTTTTTCTTGGGCGGTGCTTAGCATTTCTCTAACTATTCTACTTATTTCTTGCTTTATTTCATTAAATACTTCATTTTTGAACTCGTCTATGAGGCTCCGGAGATACCGCTTTATGTCTGTGGGTGCCGTGTTTGATATTGCATGTTTTCTGTCTTCATTCTCTTTTGCATTTACCTTTCCTGCATCAGTGTTCTCAGGATTGGGGACTGAGGACCCTTTCTTGTTGCTCCCTTTTCCCATACTTTTTGTTCCTTCCATATAAGCGTATGTAGGAGGCCCAGTTTTTTTTTTTCTCTTTGTCTGTTACAGTTTGTTTGAATCCGCCGGCTAGGTGTTCCACCCACTGCAATGTACTAGGGAGACACAGACCTGGGCAGGTTCTTCTGGACCCACCCCTCCAGGTCAATCTACTGAATGCTTCACTGCTAGGGTGCACTCCCAGGCGCAGGGACCTGATTTGGGCTACCCTACTGGATCTTAGTCCGCGGCGTCACCAGGCCAAGCGCTCCCCACCACTTCCACTTGAGAGGGAAATACACGACTAAAGTCACTGCGGGGCTGTGTTCTGGCTAGTCTCCTTGTTCCCAGAATGTCCTCTGTTTGAGCCTCCTAGTCTATGAAAGGGTCCCCATATCTCTCACTCACCGCAGTTCAATGCAGGGCTCCCTGCCAGTCCCGCTCTCAATGCCGTTTGGTTTGCCGATTCCTGCTCTCAGAGCTTTCCCGCGTCTCTCTCCCTGCCGTGCGGATTGGGATGCGGTATCTGCAGCAGGATGGCTTCCAATGGCGCGGGATCCAGCTTCAGCACTGAGATTTTATCTCTTCCTGTTATAGCATCAGGATTGCCTTTCCAATTGGTTTCTCTCAGCTTAGTTCGTTCCTGGGTCGGCAGGGTACATCTCTTCTCACGTAGCATTCCTCACACGGCACCGCTCCTGGATTCTAAACTGGTAATCTCAGAGAGCCTCCGTGGCTGCTGTTATTAGCCCACCATGTTCTCCCGGAAGTCTGAAAAATAACAGGTAGTGTTTGGCCTTGAAAACTGTCAAACTCATGGTGGAGGATACAAATTTTCCCAAATTTGAAATTTCAAGTTTAATTGCTTTCCTTGAAGGGATCTGCTCACTTCCTTTTTGAGACCACATCATGATGTCTCGTTAGCTGTTCATGCATCACATATAATAAAATCAAGTCTTGCAAACTCTTTAGGTGACGTTCTAGGCATATGAAGCCTATATGTGTACATCTATCCTTTAGTTTTTGGAGGTTTCAGTCCACACTCAGTTGGCTCCAAGGCAGGCAGGCATGGCTGGGCCGCCGTCTATGGCGGCTGCAAATAGCAAACAGGCATCATTACATCTCTTAACTGAACAAGCAGTTAACATACATTTCATTAGGTATAGGCAAATCATTAGGTATAGGCAAAAATGAAAGAATTTTGATGCATGAATCTGACAGCTTGCCACTCTGCATGTGTTCATGTAACTCTACTACTA